AAAATATATTTTTTAATATAAATTTATATTTTGTGATTTATATTTATATTTAATACTTATATATATTAAGTAAATAAAATTTTATGTAAACTACTATATTAGATAATATAAGTAATAATAAATTATATATAATTATTATTATTAACAAAATAATTTTTAATATATATTCACGAATATATTTATATTTAACGAAATATTAACAAAATATTCTTATAAACGAAATATTAACAAAGTACTTTTTATTTTTTTAATAATTTTTAATATATATTAACGAAATATAATTTTAAAAATATTTTATTAATATATAGTTAAGGAAATAGAACGAAATATATTTTTTTTGTTTTTGGATTTTTATTAATTTTTCTATTTTTTTGTTTTTATTATTATTATAATTATTTTTTTTTTGCTGATGTGTCTTTATATTTATTTAATTTTGGATTTTTTTATTTTATTTTTATTTATCTATGTGTAGTTGTGTATTTTGAGATAATGATGTCACATCACGCCACGTATATAACAGGTATGAAACTAAAGAAAGTTATAATGCCACGTCACTACCTAATCCGGCCACGCCAGCTTTTTTATCTAGGTGGGGTGATTAATATATCTTTTCCGACCAAATCGCCAACTACATGTTTCTTTTCCGCAAGGAACAACAAAATATCTATTTTGTTGACAACGCTCAACTTGGTGTATCATTTTTGAAATTTTACCAGCATCTATATATATATATATAAAGATTTACTATTTTTTTAAAAATGGCATGTCAACTCTTTGGTCAAAACCTGTGGCATTAATTACATTCCATTTTAAGTAATTTTTTTATATTATTTTTTTAAAAATCGGCAACAATAAATGCTATCCCAAATTGTGACTTTGTTACTTATTTTCTTTACGGAAAATCGGGCAACCGCATGTGTTGGCCTTAAAATTGGAATTTGTTACATTATCCAATGAAGTGACTACAATTTTAAAATTACTTTTGGAAACATCATTTTTCACCAAAACTTGCTGCTGGTCCAATATTATATATATACATGGATGTATATATATAATATAATATAAGAGAATTCATTGTGTAGTTCAAATTTGTGTTTCAAATTTAAAAGTCAAGTAAGTAATTATTCATAACTTACGAGTCAATATTAATTGGACGTAAATATAATCAATTATTTATAGTTTAATAAATTACTCAACTAATTAAATTTTTTGATTTGGATAATTAATACAAGAATAAATCCATTTTAATTAATGAAACAATATGAGTTTTATAATTATACTTATTGATAACATTGATTTTTAAATAATATGATAATATTTTAACAAAATAATTATTTCATTGAATCACATTGTAGTCAAATCGAAGTTCTAAATAAGTTTCTTAAAATGATATTTATTTTGAAATGAATATAGTGCAATTCATTATCAGTTATGTACACGTACGAGTTGTGTA